TCATTAAATACATGAATCAGCCTTGGAAAGTTATGAGGAGGAATCTAATCCTTTTGGTCAAACTATTTGTGGTTGTATGGAGATAATTATGTATTCAGGAAAATGCAATTAAAAGTACATTCAGTGAATGAAGAAGAATTTGAATACCTTTATAGTTTCTTGTTTGAACAAGGAAACAATTTTACAACTTCTAAAATTAACAATTCTGTTGTATTTAATTTCATTATTGCTTACAATAAAATGAAAATAAAACTACGAATAATACTTGTTAGGTAAAATGGAATTTTAATACCTTTATTACTTGTTGTTTAGACAAGAAAACACGGATTCATAAAATGGCAATTAAAAACTCTATTTCTTATTAAAGCTTAGTTTTTAATTTTATATTTTACATTTTATAACACCGATTTTTTTCATTTATTTCTTTTGACTATTTGAAAATAAGGTTTACATTTCAAACAAACTGCAATATTCGCAATGCAAAATAAAACTTAAAACTGCATGAAAATTTCCATGTATACTGCCATTTGCAGACGCACAGATAGACCGAAATAAATGGGGCGTAAATAAATCAATGACATGGAAGGGCTGAAGAGTTTGCAAAGCCAGAGGTCACAAAGGGAACCGGAATTGCAGCTGGCGGAGATGGAGCTGGAGATCCGAGAGGCGAGATAAACAAATTGCAGCCTGTTGCCGAAGTTGTTGCTTCTGCAGCTGCTGCCTCTGTGGGTTTTATCTTTTAATTTGCCACAAAACGCACAAAGTGCACTCAACACCCCACCAATCTGCTGTACAGCGTGGGTGTGCATCTCGGTGTGTTTGTTAGCCGGGCCAGCAGATAAAGACCAAGCCGAAACTTACTGGCCAGGCCTGGGAATCCTCTCACTTTTTTCACATGCACTCCCCATTGTATCCATGCAGCCAAGTATCGCAGTATCCATGGGATGAGGCTCGTACCGGGCCAACTCATGATGATGAAGATCCCAGCTGCCTGGCCGACTGCCTGCCTGCTGCTTGCTGGATATGACACAGATTACGTAACACGAAATTAACATTTTAACACAATTCAGCAGAAAGAGAAGACGATGACGCGGCTGCAACGTCTGCCGGTGGCTCAGTCAGAGAAATAAAACAAGAAAATTAAGTTTTAATTATAAAAGACCGCTGTTTGGAATACCCTAGCAGAACAAAGATTTTCATTAGAGATACGATTTATAAAAACCTAAGAAAATCCTTTGATAGATCTTAGAAATTCAAAAATCCTCAAAATATAATACTTTTTAAAAATTTCCTTAAATTACTTACGCTCTAATTGAAATTGTTTTGATATTTTTAAGATCTAAAGGTATGTTTTGTTTATAAGTTGATTGATATTAAAATGCATAGGAATATTTTATCAAGTAAATAATATATTATTACCTATGGGTGCTTAAAATTTGGGGACCCTTTTGTTAAATATTTAAACTTTTCCTAAAGTATACATGGTACATATCTCAAAGCTTTGTTAAAACCACATATACCTCCTTTACGAGGCGTAAAAATGCAAAAGAGTAAAAGTGGAAATGGGAACCCGTTGCGGATTGGAAATGCTGCCCACCCCTCCTGGTATTTTGGGGACCTGCCCATTTGGCCGGCGATGGCTCATCAGTTTTGGCTCTTTCTCCACGAGGCGGCGGCGGAGGCCAACAGAAGGGGCTCGAATATCGGGAGGACGACGGCGATGATGATCACGATGACGACGACGGCGACAACTATGGCCAATGCATGGGCACTTTCGGCACCGAGAGTTACGCCTCTTGCAGTCAATTATGCAATTAACGTCTTGCCAGCAAACAAGAAGCAAACGCGCCAAATGAGCCGCATTTCCTACACATTACACATTAGTCGTCGTCGAGGCTTTGACAAAACAGACTCAAAATGCAGATGGCAGACGGCAGTTGGCAGATGCAAATGTAAATGCCGGTCACCAGCTGCCTTCAGATCGATAGTTGGTTGTGCAAAATAAAAAACGAAAAACTAACTAAGAAATAGCTGACAAAATAGTGATACTCGTACTCAATCCAAAGTTGCAATCGCCAGGGGGCCCAGCACCACTGACAACTGTGAAGTGTCATCGCCCCAAGTCAGCAATAATATTATTCCCCCTCCGATTTCGACTGATTGTTTGGCCTGCGGTGCGGTGTGTTTCCCAGCAATTAGATGATGGACTGTGATTTGCAACTCGTGCAAACGAATTTAGGAAACACTTGACAAATATTGACAAAGTGCAATGGCAAAAGGGAGTGCAATGAAAAGCGTTTGAGGGGAAAAATGATACAGAAGGTTTTTTATATTTATTTTTAAGACCTTCACTTAACCCCTCATCAATCCTTTCGTTTTGCCCACTCAATCAATTAAGCCTGAGCAGGATTACCCAATAAATTTGTAATTTTCAATCGACTTTTCGACAACGGGCGACAATAACGATTTTGAGGAAGCTGCGCGACACAGTCGTTGGTCCCATGGGGAGATCGAGTAATTTGCTAATCATTTCAACTGCCAATTGGCAGAAATGTTCAAAGAAAGATGCCAAGACACAAGGAAGAAATTGTCAACGATGGACAACGACGATGGCAAAACGATGAAAACGAAGCATGAGCGAAGGGAGCAGTCATGAGAAAATGAGAAATCCAAGTCAGCAAAATTGTTGCCGGGTTAAGTAACCAAATAACTATTGGTAGCCACTTTTTGGGCAAACTATGTGCAGTCCATCGAAGGATGGTCAGAGAGCTTGGACATTGCAAGGGAGGGGTAGTTGGAGGGGGAGGCCACTGGGAGCCACTGCATCACAAAAAGTGAATGGCAGATGAAGCTGCATCGCCTTGGGCTCGAATTGGGTAACATTGCACAGCGGTGGGCGAAACTGTCAGCAATTGTTTTTGTTTTCATTTTTAGCCTGGGCTCTTTCTGCTTTTTTCTTCATCTGAAGGAGTCCCTGTCGGAGGTCTGTCTGATCTCTTCGGGATTGGACAGTCATTGGGTTAACTCTGCATTCTCCAGCAAATATGGCAATTATAATTACCGACCAATCTGTGGCCACAAATATGGGACTCGTAATCAGCGCTGCGTAAGAGAAAAAGGCGGTTGGATTTAAGTAGTACAGAAAAATGTCATTATATAATTAATGTTATCATGAGAAATTCTCCAAAAAGTTAAACCATATATCACTAGGAACTACTTTCTTCAAACTAGTACAAGATGTGGGTTTTTTCAAGTGCATGGTTCAATCTAAAATTTAAGGGTGCAGGAAACCATTTGGCCAGCTGTGGTTTGTGGCTCGGAAAGGTCGTTGCCAGCATCCCATGTTCACACTCTTGGCTAACTGGCTTTTGCCTAGCTGTTCAGCTGCACAATTGGCCATCGACTTAGGGGGCTCGTTTGACAACTAACGTGGTTACGTCGGCAGACCTCAACCCACCCCCACCCTCATAGCAATTGATTTCCTGGAAGACCACAAAACGCTGGCTGGGATTGGGATGGCATCTTCAGACGGCGACTTGTACGCAGACGCAATGGCAATCGCATCGCAGAGGCATCCACATCCACATCCAGCTGGCAAGTGGATAGGTTCGGGGACCCCTGTACCAAGTACGGACCACATGCACCGCATAAATCTTTTCTCATTTACTTTTGCCGAAACTCGGCTCGTGCAAGTTTATTGTAAATAGTTAAATAGTGGCTGTGCCTTGCGCCGCGTGATTATGTGAGCATTACATGCCATTTGCCACGCTGCCACAGCCCAAAAAATCCCAGTCTTTAAAAACAGCAAAAAATAAAGAAATATTTGCTTCAGAAGATAATATTTTAAATACCCTAACTTAAATAATTTCAAGAGGTTCTTTAGCACAAAATATATATAATTTAATTGAATAATATACAAATAAATCATAATATTTTGCTTTATTATTTCTCATCTAGTGTAATACCATTTTGTATAGCCTTGGGCTCGCAATAGGTAATTATACCCCTTGTAAGGGTATAAAATCAACAGTGAGGAGCAGGAAGCCAGCCTTGCCACGCTTGCTCCCCATTGACCCCAGATTTTTCTCCGCCTGTCCGAAGCAACAAAAAAAAAGAGGGAAAAAATGCAAAATCAATTTGAAGATTGCTGCTTCGACAGCTGTCGTCATCGTGGTTGTCGTTTCACCAGACTTCGAACTGCTGATAGCTCAGTTGAGGTTTGGATTGGCTTTGGCTTTGGGTCTGGGTTTGATTTTCAGTTTGAGTTCACTTGGAGCAGGGAAGCCAACAAGTGGGGGCTTGTCATTGACTGCAGATCGAGGCAGTGGCAAGGTGCTGCGATTGGGGTTAAACTTTAGAGTCAACAAAACGCAAACAGGAGATGGCTAAGCTTATGCAAGCGGAATTTTGCCAATGAAGATTACAGTTATTTGCCTAAATATAAATTCAAAATTTACACAAACACACTGATTGGGGAATATTTACTAATAATAATATTCAAGTGGACAGGAGGTCTTTTCGTTTTGTCATTAAAGCTTAATCAATCATTTCGACGTGTCATTAAAACCGAATAATATTATTTTCTATAAATATAAAAGCTTCAAAGCTGAGTATGTTGTGAATAAAAATCAATCACTATTAAAAACTATACTTATTCTTTCCTAATTAGGTGAGCTTGTATATAAAACTACCCGTTACACAGTTTCATTATTATTTTTAAACCTTTATTAAATTTATAGAATTCCATAGATTTACATTTCCAAATATGTATCGTAGGTAATAATCATGGTACACATTAAAAATGGTTTTTTATTTGTTCTAACTTTACTTTCAATTGCCTTGCTCTTAACCATATGTTTTACCCACTTTATATATTCATGCCTAGCCCTTTTGCCGCAGCTTCGCTACCTAGGATTTGGCTAATGGAAGGGTCTACTGAAAACCCAAATTAGTTTTTGCGGTGGCCCAGAAACTGATACCAGGAATTTAAATGGACTCACCTTGCGTTTGGAGCGTGCCATCCGCTGGTCGCGGGCGTTCTCCGCCTCGCCGGGCGGCCGCTTCCCCCAGACGCGGATGGCGATCCTGGTGTAGGTGAAAACGAGCACTGCCAGCGGCACGACGAACTGCAGGGCAAACAGGGACAGTGTGTAGTAGTACTCCTGCGTCCGCGATGGCCACATCTCGCGGCAAATGTATCTGATGGATGCACGCGCACAAAGGACGTCACATGGAAGTAGAGGGAGGAGGAGGGAGGCAGGGGGCAGTGCATTAGTTTCAAGTGGACAGTTGTGGCGGGCTCCTGAAATCAACTGTCACAAAAGGACACCCGCACATACGCTCGTGTAATCTCGGCTGAGTGCACAATTTCATTTTTATGCTAAGCCCCACAAATTCCTGCGAAAACTGGTCAGAAATGACGCTCTTCCAAAAACTGGTTTTATTTTCCTCGTTCTGACAGAATTCAGTAGCAGTTTGTTAAATTTTTTGAACTTTCAGATTTTCTTTTGAATGAAATTGTTATGTAATTTACGTTACCGACTTTTAAAAAAAAAACCATTTATGTTATCCAATATTTTAAAAATCAAACTAACCCTAATACATATTGCGTTCTTTCCTAAAAACCCACAAAACTCCATTCTTTACTTTAAGGCCAGTTCATTATTCTATCCTCACTTATCCTCTTTTAATTGCTAGCCTGCTCTGCCTTTGCAATTAGACATGACTCTCAGCATTTCACAACGTGCCCTGCATAGTTAAGCTGAGGAAAGGAAGCCTGCAGATGAGTTTGCTTTTTGCATTTACATTATTCTCGCCCACTTGCTGATTGTCCTTTGGGACGCAAATTAAAACTGTCATCGGCCGCTTGGCACCCTGATTTGTGTGGGAAGGCATAAAAATGTGTGTAATAGACTTATTTTTTCCACCAATTGAAAACGTGCCTGGGGCTCCAGGATTGACTGCACCTTTTACCACTCCGCTTAAAATTCCGCGAAGGGAAAGAATTTAGGCCTAATACCAGACACATCAGCCTTCACACGGAGACATTTTCATAAAGTCGTTTAATACGAAATAGCTGCACTTAAAGCCGCCCACAAATGACAGCAGCGAAAAAAGAAAAATTTGAACTTTTAAATTGCAAATACCTATTTTATTAATTTTATTTTTTAAGTTTTATAAAATTTCTTATTAAGCTTACGGATTTATTTTTAAACTTGTAATTCCTAATTTACATTTAAAAAATATATATTTTTAATCCATTAAACATTTTCAATTATTAAATTTCCTTTTGAGAATTTGAAATTTTGAATAACAAAAGGTTTTGTTTTTTCCCCCGCCTGTATAAATATGTCTCGATAACAATCCGTCACTTGCTGTTACTGTGGTTTGCTGTTTGAGGAGGTCTGTACTTACTTCTCACATTTCTCGTGCCAGGGCGACCTGGGGAGATCGAGGCCGGAAACGAGGGGTATGGGAAAGGCAGTGGCAAGTGCAACAAACCAAACGCCGCTGATGATGAGGGTGGCATAGCTGCAAAAAAAGAGGAAGGGGACTTGTTTGAGTGGGTCGTAAGTACATTTGATTGGCTGCTTAATATTTAAAATCTGTGTTATTTTTAGTCTTTTGTTATCCGCCTCCTTTCGACTTTTAAAGAATACTCTCATAAATTGTTTCATTTATTTCTGGCGTGTGAGTGATGCTGGAAGTTTGACGGAGCATGATAAGAGGGCATTAAGGCCTAAAGAGCGCTCTGCGGTAGCTGCGTGCGGGTAAATTACAGTCATGTTGAATAATTATCAGCCATATTTACGTTATGTCCCCGCAAATATTTGCAGAAGCCACGAAGGATGACTTTCGCCGCCCAGAAACACACTCAAACGCAGTCACGCACACGCGAGGCCTGACGTCAATATGACTTCCATTTGGTCAGCAGTGAGAAAAATGTAAGTATGAATTTGTAAAGTGAATACATGAAAATGAAAAAATGTGGAAACAAGTAACTTAAATAAGTTTAACATTACACTGCAGTTTCTTTAATAAGTCTAGTGAATTCTAATGAATTATTTTATTTTTTGGTTTTTTATTTGGTACTAGTTTTAATTAATAATTATTTTCATTGCTTTCTAAGATATTACATATTTTAATCTTTATTAAAAATCTTACATGTAGGTACTACTCTAATTTTAGGTATATTTTGAATTCGTTATAGAACCTTATTTGTTCCTTATAATATTATTTCAACAAGAGATGTAGGTAGTACTTTTAAAACCTAATAATATTGTATGCTTTAATTTTTCTTATCTTTGTATTTCTTCCTTCTCCTTCCCGAAACCGACATTGAAAGTCGCCCAAGCGTGACATACTCACACCAAACACTCTTCAACTCGATAGGAGATGGAGATGAGATGGATGTCAGTAGAGTGTCAGCGAATAGTGGGGGGCTTTCAAGGGGGAACAGCTGTATCCAGTTACCAAACAAATTGACGTTTGCAATGCGTCCGGCCATTTGTTGTTTGCCAGCCGGCCGCTTTGGATTTTCAGCAAGCGCTGCGTCAGGCTCTCGGATTACTATTTAAACCAATTAACATGAGGCGACGTGCTCAGCCGCCGTCTAACTAAAGGCCTGCCGAAACAGCATTCCCTTGGGAAAGTCGCTTAGGTCAAGTGGTCAAAGTGGGCACCAGTGTAAATACCCCAGTGGCCACTTGACGGTGTCCAGGCACGCCAATGAGTGTGCCAACTCAGCACTTGGTTAACGCACTTGAACTATCGTACTTAACTAGTACGAAAAAGGGCTAATTTAATACACATTTCGTGAGTGCATTTACTCTTTCAGAAAAATGTTAGGAACATTTTCCAAGGTCCTAATCCATAAAAAACTTTATTTTATACCCTTTAACGCATTCAAATTTGCTTTGTGCTTTTAAGCCATTATTGAGGTAATTAAATAGCTTTCAGCTTTCAGGATTTAATGCTTTAAAATGATCCTATTAAACAAAGTGAATATTTTATTCGAATTAATTATCACATCTAAAGCTTTAAATACTGTAAATAAAAAAACCATTAACAAGGGTGCATATTTTAGTAAAACTAATTATCGTATTTAAAGCTAACAATACCATAGCTTCCTCTTGCTGAAAAAAATAACTTACGTAATAACCCAAAGAAAAAACATAAATCTGTTAAGCCAAATGAAAAAATAAAATAGACAATTAAAAAATATGTATTTCTGACGAGATCATGTCCATTGCTAGCAAAAATGTGCAATTATTCAGAATATAATAAAATTTACCCGCTGACTTACCGTTTTGTGATGCGGGGCCTCAGGGGCCACATGATGGCTATATACCGGTCTATGCTAATGGCCACCAAAGTGTAGGCGGTGACCAGGACAGAGACCGCCTGCGAGTAGTTCACAAAATGGCAGAGAACGACGCCAAAGGGCCAGTAGTTGAGGATAAACAGCGAGATGAAGGACGAGGGCACACAAAACAAGGACATCAGGATGTCGCCCAAGGCCAAGCTGGCTATAAAGTAATTGGTGACCGTGCGCATGCGTGGCGTGGATTGAACTATGTAGCAGACAGTTCCATTGCCGATCAGGGCGAAGAAAAAGATGGGAATGTACAGCATGTAGACGAGGCTCTTAAAGTAGACACTGGACCACAGGTCCTCCGACTGAATGTCATCGCCATCGCAGCTAAAGTTCATCATCAAGGTGATATTGAATGTCTCGTACTGCAAATCACTGGGGGTCGTAGACGATCCATATCCATAGACTGCAGAATCCTCTTCTCCCGTCTGCAATGCCTTGGTGACATTGTAAAGTAGTGAAGCGGAGTCCGGCAGGAGGAGGGATCCCTCCTGGTAGTCATCCTCCTCCTCGTTCCTCAGCAACGGCTGCTGCGGAGCTATGTAGTACATCCTGTCGATGCCACCGGGCATTCGACTTCTGCTTCCAAACATTATGCTATTGTCAAATTCCATTCAGGCGCGTCAACCGGAAACAACCGCAAACTCTTAAGCCAACTTCCAGTCGTTGAGAACTTTTCTCAGCATTCTGCGCCAAAATCCAGGCTCTTCAAACTCGACTGCTGGCTGTCATCATCTGCAAGTAAAAGTTTGTGGCTATAATTAGCTTGGTTCCTCAAATATATGTGCTGCACTACATTGCGGCTACTTAATAATTCGGTTTTTATATGTGAACAATAAGCGTTGCATAGTTTCGGGCGGCTGTCAGTATAAGAGTTTTGAGTGGGCTAAATCAGCATAATAAATAGCTACAAGCTGGAAATATGCAAGCATTATATTAAATGAAAATGCCTGCGGTCAAAAGAAAGTTAATATAATTGTATATCCTAATAATGAGTGCTAAAAGCATATAATAATTATCTAAAATGAAACTTTAGATGCAACTTGTGATGAACAACTGAAGGCTAATTAGCTAAATATTCTGTAAATTCCCAGTACTTAGAATTCCCATACAACACTTTTCTTTAAGTACTATTATTAAAATATTCATGAGATTAATTTAATACAGCTATCATTTGCAATTGAGTTGCCTTCGTCAGCAATTAAAAGCCATCAAACAGATATTTCGTTGACATATGTGGGCTGTAAAAGTAATTTAAACCAGCATTTATCGATATGTTGACATGACTCATTTAAGTCGGCCTTACTTCGTTTTAATATCTACCTGAATGAACTTCTGACATCAACTGACATCCCTCACCACCCAATTCACCACCCACCCATCGGCAGAGGACAGGATAAGGTTATCAAGTGGGTAAATTACTTATCTCAGCACAATAATGAGGTTGGGAATTTCGCAAGTGTCTGAGCGTCGTTTTTGTCATTTATCCTGCCTTCCATCCTTCTGTGTTTTTCTTCTTTTTTATCAATTATCCTGGCAAATTCCTCGACGCAGGAGCCTTCGTCAGAAAATCCCATTCGGGACGGATTTAAAATGTTTGACATTGCTTATTGGCATTTTAGGCCGCTTCCGCTTATGTTTCCCAGAAAAACTTGAGGAATTTCTTTCATTAATGTTATTTAAATGAATTTATATACTCAGATTTTCGATAAGCAGGCCATGAAAGTTATTTACGCATTACTTGAAGTGTCTTTTGATAACGTGGAGTGCAAAATGAGTTAGCTATTAATGCAAAAATATCAAATTATTCGATTATACAAATTATTCTAGAATAGCCCGCCTGAAGTTCAAGTTCATTGAGATCGATTTTATGGTTTTTTTAAGATAAATACATAGCTATGAAAGAAATATAAACTTTCCTTTCACAAAAATCAGAGCTTGTAATCAACAATGTTTCCATCGATATGCAGCTCTTGATTAATGAACACCTCATCAATTTTGTATTAACAAGAAATGGGAAAATGTGCGGCGAATGCCAAAGCACGCAAAATAATTACACACTGGTAGGCCACTCGTCGTTCATTATTCCGAAGGTACCACACAACAAAATGAAATAAAAATGGCAACAAATCCAAATTAAAATAGGACGCAAGGACCGCAGGCGACTAGAAGGCAACGGAAAGCCAGAAACATGAAAATAATGTCGGTAATAAAATAAAATGCAAAATGTATTGACAAGAAATCACGTACAAGACTGAAAAACACACTGTGTATGTAAGCGCCGTTGGGGATGTAATAACATCTTAGATTTTCCTGCGAAAAGGCAGCAAATCAGGTTTTTCGGGCTTAGTTGGCGCCTAAATTTGTTTAGCGGGCTTTTAGGCTAGGCGCAAAAAGTAGAAGCCAACAACAAAGACTTTTCCCAGACACAAAAAAAAAACAGGTAGTCGACCGCCAAAATGTATTTCATAAATTTAATTTTCAGCCAAGAACAAACATCGTAAAAGGCAAGCGAAAAGATTTTAAATAAAGCCTAGGATTATGACAAATTTACTGGCCTACAAAAGCAACGCATTTTTTTGTGGAAATTCCTCACAGTTGGTAGCCTTTTCTCCCAAAAATAGATTTAGATTCTGCCCCAAGGTAAGGTAAATGCAATTACTCCAATTCAATGACATACCTCCCTTCATCAAATGTAAGTATGTAAATATACCAAATTATTGACACTAAATAAAAATTTACTCGAGGCCATGATCTATCTTAACAGTTCAACAACAAATCACTTACATATATATTATCTTCATTTTATTTTTTAAAATACAAATTCTAGAAATTATACTGCAAACAGCCAATCAGTTGATAAAAAGCCATCAGATTTGGTATTCCAAAAAAAAAGCAATCAGATTATTTTCAATTTACGTGAACTACGTAGTCAGCCAAAGTAATGGCGCTCGATCTAATCTGCCGTAGATAAGGCGACCACCAGGGGACCTATAAAAGAGGCCGCCGGCAAACTGAAAAACCATCAGTTGTGGACTACACTTGAAGACACAATATGAAGACTTTCCTGATTTTGGCAATCTTTGCTCTAGCCGGTAAGAAAATAAAACAATCCTTAAAGAACTATAAACCTTAAGTAAAATATAATATTTTTCAACAGCTTCGGCTTATGCTGTGGAGGAATCCGAGCGCGTCAATGGCGAGAACGGCTGGTACGTTCCCCAGGCTGACGGCTCCCTCGAGTGGGTGGATATGGATGTGGCTGAGGAGTGGATGGATGCCCAGGAGAAGCTTGAGGGCCGCGGTTTGACTACCGTCCCCGTAAACTTCTACCTGTTCACTGCCTCCAACCCCTCCAGCAGCAAGCACATCTATGCCACCAAGAAGTCCATTGATAAGTCCAACTTCAATGCCAACAACCCCACCCGTATTGTGATTCACGGCTGGACCCAGAGCTACCTGAACAGCATGAACTCGGACATCCGCAAGGCCTTCCTCTCCCACGGAGACTACAACGTGATCATCGTCGACTGGGCCCGTGCCCGTTCTGTGGACTACGCCACCTCAGTGATGGCTGTCGGCCCCACCGGAAAGAAGGTTGCCGCCATGATCAACTTCCTGAAGGACAACTACGGCCTGAACCTGAACGATCTCTATGTGATTGGTCACAGTCTGGGCGCCCATGTGGCTGGATACGCTGGCAAGAACACCGACGGTCAGGTGCACACCATTGTGGGTCTGGACCCCGCCCTGCCCCTCTTCAACTGGAACAAGCCCAACAAGCGTCTGAACTCCGGCGATGCCTGGTATGTGGAGTCCATCCAGACCAACGGCGGCACCCTGGGATTCCTGAAGCCCATCGGCAAGGGAGCCTTCTACCCCAACGGCGGAAAGACCCAGCCCGGCTGCCCCCTGGATGTGACTGGAGCCTGCTCCCACGGACGCTCCACCACCTACTACGCTGAGGCAGTCGCCCAGGACAACTTCGGAAGCATCAAGTGCGGCGACTACGAGGCTGCTGTCTCCAAGGAGTGCGGAAGCACCTACAGCAGCGTTCGCATGGGAGCCGACACCAATGCCTACATGGTCGAGGGTGACTTCTATGTGCCCGTGAACAGCAAGGCCCCCTTCGGCATGATTAACTAATCGCTATACAATAAATACCAATGCTAAAACCATATCTGAATACTCTTTTAAATCACTAATTCTTAAAAAAAATCCTAACTTGGTTAGATCGCTTTATAAACCATCCCTTCTTTCCTGTCAACCATCTTGTTGACCTTCTGAAACCAGCTTATTAATTTAAATCAAAACTCGGTTGCTTTTTCAATTTAATTGTATAATTTCTTTGGCCTGGGTAACACTTAAACAGGTTAAGAACATTTCATACAATCTCTTCGCTCCTAGAAGAAAAAGGAAAATTGCTACAACTAAATATTTATATTCGGAAACCAGAAAAACATACTTGGGGAAATGGCAGACAAGGAGCCTCCTTGTGCTTTTGGCAATGTTTACTTTTATTGGTCTTTCACATTCTAGCTCAGTAGCTGTGCACACTGAAACAAATATGTTAGGAAATGCTTTTCCGTTTAGGGTAATTATTGGTATTATTCGAAATGATCTGTTAAATAATCATGACATTTTGGAAAAAATTAACCAATAGGCTGAAGACATTGTATATCTATGAATCATTTATACTCAATGACTAGTTTATTTTTCCTACAAAATGTATAAGGTAATGTCATCATTTAATTGCAATAAATTGTGGAATAATTTTGCTCTTTGGGTTTATTGATATATTTTCTCTGTGCATCTTCATCTTTAGCAACGTCGTCAGAAGCGTTTTGCCACTTTGTGTGGCATGTTTGTAATTATAATTAATGAGCAACCTGCAAGCGCAATTTCGCCCTCGACAAAGTCAACTACCCAACTATGTGTACTATATTTTATTTGAGGGAGCCACCCACCAAGTATTTAAATACGAACTGCCTGCTCGACGGGTGGTCTTTTGCTCCCAATTAGCTCTTGAGTATGCCAACTATTTGACTACGAGTATGTGCAGCTGGTGGGTCGGAGATTGAATTTGCCCGCCTCTACTTGAGATTCACACAGATAATAATCCGATAGGATATTTTTGGAGCAAGCTCTTGAGGCACAGCAGACTGATAAGGGAATTTCCTGACCTTCACCCCACCGCCCCCTCTGAAAAAATTTTATTTGCCTCCCGTTCCTTTTTATGGACTGACAATTTTATTGTTTCTTGCGGCTCCTGCGTAAAATTGAATTTTATTGTGTCCTTTGCCTCATGGTATTTACGCATATAAGGCCAGAGATTTGTGGCCTAAAGTCCACTTAATGAGGGTCGAGAAATGCGATATATACTTGGCAAATGCTGTTTGGTTCTCACGCAACTCATGATGACATAAGCCCCTGAAAAGTTATAAGGGGATAGGTATATTTGCTTTACATGCAAATTGGCCTGCTGTTTTCATTTAATTTGGTTAATCAAACGCTCAAAACTATTTATCAGAATGGGAAGGACACCATGCGAAATGCGACACTTTTCGAAATGCTATTAATTCAGCATGTTCACTGAATCTGTCATCGAGTTCGGGGGGTCCGGGTCCTACGCCCACCGATATTTTGGTCCTGTGTCCACAAAGGCAGACCCACGGATAAATATAATAAACTTAAAAGTCGTGGGTGGTCTGCGGTTTTTGTTCGTGTTCATATTTGCGTTATTAATTGAATTAATTTCTCAATAAGCGATGATTAACATCGAAAGAGGCTCATTAAACAAAAGTGCCTGAAAGTATGCTGTCATTTTAAAAAGCTGTAACTTCCGTTTAAGTAGCTCCATTATGATTAACCATTTTCATTTCCTCTTTATCGACACTGGAAAATATAATTATTTCTTAAAGATAGTTTTCGTTGTTATTTTTTTTTCTTTACCCCAACTCAACACCTTGTGTGAGTACTTATACCCCAGATTACAAACCACCAACTGACCAAGATAACACAAGTCGAGCAAAACAAGAATGCACTGGAGTGTTAAATTAAATGCCCATTTAATGATACCTACAATTAAGTCCACTCATCGCGACTTACAGGAGATTAAGGTGGTTGAGGGCACCTCCCCGTTTGTAATCGATACCTGATAGTGGATGGACTCGTTGCCATTCAAGACTCGTGCTTCTGTAGATTGGAATTCACTGACCATAAACACGAATTTTTATAGTCATTAACGCAAAACACTCGAAGAATCGGTTTGCAAATCGACCACGAATGGCTCAATTGAAAAGCCAATCAGTAGATAAAAGTGCCATCAGATTCGAAATTTCTAAAAAAGAAACACTTGCAATATTTGGCCAGCAATCAGATTAATTTAAATGTACCCAAACCACCCAGTCAGCCAAAGTAATGCCAAGCGATTTAATCTTTCGCCGATAAGTTGGCCCATTGAGGGAGGTATAAAAGCAACGGTTTTGGGGCGGAATAACCATCAGTTCTGGGTTTTACTACATAATGCAGACATTCCTGATTTTGGCACTCTTTGCTGCAGCCGGTAGGTTCTAAATGAATATGAAATTCCTGAAGAATTCTCTTTTAACCATAAACTCGCTTTCAGTTTCGGCTCTTCCCCTGGAGGAATCTGAGCGCGTCCATGGCGAGAACGGCTGGTACGTTCCCCAGGAGGATGGCTCCTCCCAGTGGGTGGACATGGACGTGGCCGAGCAGTGGATGGAGGCCCAGGAGCAGCTGGAGAGCCGTGGCCTGACCACCGTTCCCGTCAAGTTCTACCTGTACACCTCTTCCAACCCCACCAAGGGCACCAAGATCACCGCCACCACGAACTCCATTGACAACTCCAACTACAACTCCTGGAACCCCACTCGCTTCGTGATCCATGGCTGGACGCAGAGCTACAGCGCCAGCATGAACAAGGAAATCACCAGTGCTTGGTTGTCCAAGGGAGACTACAACGTGATCGTCGTCGACTGGGCTCGTGCTCGTTCCGTGGACTACGCCACCTCGGTGATGGCTGTCAGTTCCACCGGAAAGAAGGTTGCCAACATGATCAACTTCCTGAAGGACAACTACGGCCTGAACCTGAACGACCTATATGTGATTGGTCACAGCTTGGGCGCCCATGTGGCTGGATACGCTGGTAAGAACACCAACGGTCAGGTGCACACCATTGTGGGTCTGGACCCCGCCCTGCCCCTCTTCAGCTGGAACAAGCCCAACAAGCGTCTGAATTCCGGCGATGCCTGGTATGTGGAGTCCATCCAGACCAACGGAGGAACCCTGGGATTCCTGAAGCCCATCGGCAAGGGAGCCTTCTACCCCAACGGCGGACAAAGCCAGCCCGGCTGCGGATGGGACTTGACCGGTGCCTGCTCCCACGGACGCTCCACCACCTACTACGCGGAGGCCGTCTCCGAGGATAACTTCGGAACCGTGAAGTGCGGCGACTACGAGGCTGCCGTCAACAATCAGTGCGGAAGCACCTACAGCAGCGTTCGCATGGGAGCCGACACCAATGCCTACATGGTCGAGGGTGACTACTATGTGCCCGTGAACAGCAATGCGCCTTTCGGCATGATTAACTAAAAGCAATGGAATAAAGTTAAGGTCAATGGAAGTACACATTGGTTTTTCTTGGGAATATTTAAGGGAGAGTAAAGCAATCATTTTTACCATGACTTATATTTGCCCATGAGTATATCCGTTTGATTAACCAAAAAAACGTAATTATATCTCGGAGCTCGCCTTGGTGTTTCCTCAATGAACTTCCTCCGATAAGGAGTAGCCGATCATAAACCATAGCATTGTTCAACCAATCACTTAGGTTTATTGACATTTATGGCTGCACTTGACCATTTCGGATTTCCTTGGCCGTTCCTTAGTCATAGCTCAACAATGATTTCTTTACTTCATTGAAAAAAGAAACAATAATAAAGGCAGGCAATAAATATACTTAAATTTTTGTAGTACTTTGTAAATTGATAGAATCTTTTTTATAACTCCGAACTAATAAACTTAACCTGTAAGCTGAAAACCTGTAAACTTCCACTTATCTAATATGCACTGCTACTTCCGATCAAGTTCAGGATCGTGACCCTGAACCTTATCTATAGGTTGATGCAAGTTCTGAGGCTCAATAGTTATAATGCCCACTCTTATCAGCTGGAGAAAACCGGGCGCTATCAATGTACCCACTATACGTTCTAATCGTTTGTATCGGCCCTATCTTACTGTTCAGAAGCTGTCAAAGCTCTCAAGTGTTTACTGATATTAAACAGCGATTACGGTGATTATTTCAGCCCTATAAAAGGCGCGCAACAAGTGCTCTCTTCACCACACTTATTTTGAGACCCCCCAAGATGAAGGTGTTTTTTGTTCTAGCCGCTTTACTGGCAACAGGTAAGATGTCCTTACGAATAGTTTTTATATTATTATTATAATCCTTTCCTATATAGTAAGCGCCCTGCCCATTGAGGAGCGCGTCAATGGCGAGAATGGCTGGTTCATTCCCAAGATCGATGGCAGCTTCGAGTGGATGGAGATGCAGGATGCCGAGGACCTGATGGGCAACGGAGCCCAGATGGAGGGACGCATCAGCACCAATGCCGTCAACTTCTACCTGTACACCAAGTCGAACCCCACCTCGGGCAAGGAGATCAAGGCCAAGGCTGGCTCCGTCGACGATTCGCACTTCAACCGGGATCATGGCACCCGTTTCGTGATCCACGGCTGGACCCAGAAGTACACCGACGACATGAACACCCGCATCACCAAGGCCTGGCTGTCCAAGGGCGACTACAACGTGATTGTCGTGGACTGGGCTCGTGCCCGTTCCGTGGACTACGCCTCCTCCGTCCTGGCTGTTCCCGGCGCCGGTGGCAAGGTTGGTGAGATGATCAAGTACCTGCACGAACACCATGGTCTGGACTACGATAGCCTGGAGGTGATTGGCCACAGCCTGGGAGCCCATGTTGCTGGTTATGCTGGCAAGACCGTCGGAGATCAGCGCGTCCACACCATTGTGGGTCTGGATCCTGCCCTGCCCCTCTTCAGCTACGACAAGCCCAGCAAGCGTCTGTCCACCGACGATGCCCACTACGTGGAGTCCATCCAGACCAACGGCGGCAAGCTGGGATTCCTGAAGCCCATCGGCAAGGGAGCCTTCTACCCGAACGGAGGCAAGAGCCAGCCCGGCTGCGGACTGGATGCCACCGGATCCTGCTCCCACGGACGCTCCGTGCTCTACTACGCCGAGGCCGTCACCGAGGACAACTTCGGCTCCATCAAGTGCAGTGACTACGAGCGGGCCGTGGCCAAGGAGTGCGGCAGCACCTACAGCAGCGTTCGCATGGGAGCCATCACCAATGCCTACATGGTCGATGGTGACTACTACGTCCCCGTGAACAGCAAGGCTCCCTTCGGCAAGATCGAATAGAGTCCTGTCTTCATATTCGTTGCTGAATAAAATACCCAATTGAATACTCCTAAAAATACAGTCTTGCTTATTTAGTTAAAGTCTATGAAAGTTTAAAGTTCTCCTTGGTATTTCTATAAAAGAGATTATAGTAAATGTTTAAATCACCATGATGATTTAAGTTTCTTACAAAAATCAACTATCAAGCATATTAAATTAAATTTAAATTATTTTCCAATTTCATTTTGAGGGTATCGAGGATTTGATTTAATAGTTTTTCATTTTGAGGGTATTGAGTATTCGATTTTATAGTCAAATTATTTTACCCCCTAAATTCTACTCAGCAACATTCATCTATATAGAGGTCGTACCACCGCTGAACAATGTACTTATAACTGAAGTACACTGGGATTTTCGAAGCACTTAAAGTATCGCAAGCAAAATCAAATACGTTCTTGTTCTTACCACCCAATGATTAAATATATGAAATAGATTAAAGATATTTTTAGCTTTATTTGTGTGCGTACTGATTGGATTAAAAGTTACTCAGTATCTCTGACTTGGCGGATTTGGGTTTTACAAAATATTATCACTTAAAAGCCATCTAAAACTGACCAATATAATCATAATAATAATCATTATTACTTCTATCCTGATATCACGTGTTATAGGTACTATCAGTACCTACAGCCTATAAAATCGCTGGTAAAAATGGTTTAGCTTGGTAGATTCTGCGCAGATATCAATATGCGAGTGTTCATAGCTCTAGCGGTCTTAATTGCAGCAGGTGAGTTAAAAAATTTATTTAAAGGAAAGTAAGTGCTAATAAGATTTTTCTTTGCTTTCAGTAAGTGCTCTCCCTATCGAGGAGAAGGTCAATGGCGAGAATGGCTGGTTTGTTCCCCAGGAAGATGGTAGCTTTGAGTGGATGGACAAAAAGGAAGCAGAGGAGCTCTTAGAGATCAGTACTCCCTTTGACAGTCGTGCCAATGACGTGTCCTTCTACCTGTACACCAGAAATAACCCGACCGAAGGCAAGGAAATCAGAGCCGATGCTTCCTCAATCGAAGACTTTCATTTCGATAGGAGTCATGGCACTCGTTTCGTGATCCACGGATGGGGTGGACGCTATACCGACAGCATGAATGTCAAAATCACAAAGGCCTGGCTTTCGAGGGGAAACTATAACGTGATCGTTGTCAACTGGGATCGTTCCCAGTCGGTGGACTATGTGTCTTCTGTGCGAGCTGTTCCCGGAGCTGGAACCAAAGTGGGCGAGATGATTGAGTATCTGCACGATCATCACGGCATGTCCCTGGAGAGTCTGGAGGTTATTGGACACAGTCTGGGTTCCCATGTGGCTGGCTATGCTGGCAAGCAAGTTGGAAACCAAAGAATCCACACAATAGTGGGTCTGGACCCCGCCATGCCTCTATTCAGCTACGATAAGCCCGACAAGCGACTATCCACCGAGGATGCCTTTTATGTGGAGTCCATACAGACCAATGGCGGAGAAAAGGGATTCCTGAAACCCATTGGAAAAGGCACGTTCTACCCGAATGGAGGAAGGAAGCAACCAGGATGCGGCACTGACATTGGAGGAACCTGTGCCCATGGACGATCTGTAACCTACTACGTGGAGGCTGTCACTAAGGATAACTTTGGGACTATCAAGTGCAAGGACTATCAGGATGCGTTGGCCAACGAGTGCGGAAGCACCTACAGTGGCGTTCGCATGGGAGCCGTTACCAATGCCTACATGGTCGATGGTGATTACTACGTCCCTGTGAACAGTGAGGCTCCCTTCGGAAAAATTGAATAGTCTCCTTCTACTATTGTTGATTTATTATTAAAATACTAAAGTGAATACTTCAGAAAAACTTATTTCTTTTAATTATTTATTTTCGATCAAGGCTATGGAAATAGCAATTATGTTATCTTTGCTTGCAAATCAAATCAATAAAAGGTTATCTTTTAATTATTTACAGACCCTTTCTTCCTTTTAAGGGTGCCGACTCTTTTAGTCGACTTTAATTTCAGAAGGTACTTAAAACGTAAGTGCGTTGGGATTTTCAAACCACTTAAACTACTCAGTTTCTCTTACCTAGCTCTTTCTGTTTATAAGTGGGTTGGATTAATTACGTTTCTATCCCTATTCAAACTGTTTTATATTTGTCAATGGTTCACATTTCTCCACTTATGAATATAATTACACCCAAAAAAAAATCGATATGAATCGTAGGTCAATTTGACCTTTTTTAAGATCATTTTTAACTTGATATGGGGCCAGGTAAATGTGATATGGTCGAAAATGTAAGAACAAAAATTTGCATTATTCCTGACCAAAACTTATTCTAGTGCGAGCGAGAAAACATGCTTGAAGTACGTCAGTTCGAATTTCGAATACGTCTTTCTCGCTTCCACTCATGTCATTTTGCTCGCCATATTGACTCCTGCGCTCTTTTTCGAAGTTAGAGAATCTCCGAGAGAGAGAATTCCTGAAAATGATATTATTTAATGTAAATTTTATGAATATTTCAGGTAAAAACGATATGAGTATGAATAACCAGAAAATTACCTGGACTTATCGATTTTACGGCGACGTGCTTTTTTTTGTGTGTAGGATAATTACATCATTTTGTAGTTAACATATACTTGAACTTCTTGATTATCACATATTGATTAGTTATCAACTACAAGCATGTAACCAATGAACATTATCATTTCCATATATAACACCTATAAAATGATATCATTACCATATATAAGAACTATCAAGTGACTATATTTCCGGCTTGATCTTGAGTGCGTTTTCTATTGATAAGTTACAGCCTATAAAAGCGGTTGTAATGAAGCTTTAGCACCCTAGATTTTTACTGAGATACCAATATGAAAGTCCTCGTCGCCCTCTCAGTTTTAGCTGCAGCAGGTAAATTTTAAAACTATTTTAAAATGAATACAATAATAACAAAGAATAATTTCCTTTTTTTAGTTATTGCACTTCCCATTGAGGAGCGAGTAAATGGCGAGAATGGTTGGTTTGTGCCTCGAGAAGATGGCAGTTTTGAGTGGATGGACAAAAAGGATGCCGAGGAACTTTTAGCGAGCAGTGCTCCTATCGAAGGTCGTTCCAATGAGGTGTCCTTCTACCTGTATACCCAACAGAATCCCACAGAGGGCCAGGAAATCAAGGCGGATGCTTCCTCAATTGAAGATTCTCATTTCGATAAGAATCACGGCACTCGGTTTGTGATCCATGGATGGAAGGGACGTTACACCGACAGCATGAACGTGGATATTACGAATGCCTGGCTATCGAGGGGAGATTTTAATGTGATCGTTGTTAACTGGGATCGCTCCCAATCCGTGGACTATGCCATGTCCGTACGAGGTGTTCCTGGAGCTGGAACCAAGGTGGGCGAGATGATCGAGTACCTGCACGAACATCACGGAATGTCACTGGAAACTCTTAAGGTTATTGGTCACAGTTTGGGTGCCCATGTGGCTGGATACGCTGGCAAGCAAGTTGGCAACCAGAGAGTTCACACAATTGTGGGTCTGGATCCTGCCTTGCCCCTTTTTAGCTACGATACTCCGGAGAAGCGTCTGTCCAGCGAAGATGCCTTCTATGTGGAGTCCATCCAGACGAATGGCGGTGTGAAGGGTTTTGTAAAGCCCATTGGAAAGGCCACTTTCTATGTGAGTGGAGGAAGGAAGCAGCCAGGATGTGGAGTGGACATTGCTGGAACCTGTTCCCACGCCCGTTCAGTGCTCTACTACGCCGAGGCCGTCACCGAGAATAACTTTGGAACCATCCAGTGCCAGGACTACCTGGCTGCTCTGGCCAACGAGTGTGGCAGCACCTTTAGCAACGTTCGCCTGGCAGAAGAGAGGAATGCCGACAATGTGGAGGGCCACTTCTACGTGCCCGTAAACAGCGAGGCTCCATTCGGTAAAACCGAATAAAGAAATATCAATAAAATATCAATTAAATGAGCTACCAAAAATCGGGAGGTCTATTTGTGTCGGTTTATCTGCATCACGATAGAAGTCTCAGGGGGTTCTAATCACTGTCACACCGCCAAGTGCTTTTGTCGTACGTCAGTGGATAAGGATCCATCCTATTCTCTTTGGAATGCGAATCGCCATTCATGAAGAGTCTTTTCGAGCAAGTCATGGTCACGTTGTCTTCAGGTAATCTGAATTTTAAATCAATTTTATTAATAGAAGGTTGCAATTGGTTGATATCTTCACTGACAAATATATTTTTCATCGATAGCTATCAATAAATATAGGTATTCTTCGTTGATCATGCTTATACATCTTGAAAAATAGCAGAAAAATAATATTAAAATTCGTTATCTGATTAAATTAGGTCCAAAAGTAAAGTTCCTATTTAAACACTTCATATATCAATAATATATTTAAATACCTGTCCAAGAGTGACATGAAAAATGTACTTGATAAACTATTTAAAAGGTAATTGCCAGGTTATCTCGAATAATATCAAAGCCTATGCGAATAATGTTGTATTTAAATTCTCGAGCAGCTGTGTGGTTATGACAGCGAACGTTTATTGATAAGAATTGACGAATTGATTAATAAATTGGCCCCAAGCAAATGACAGAAAATCTGATGGTTACAGGTATTTGAAGCACTCTTTTAATAGAAAACAATTTGAGATTAAAGGATTTATACAAAAATTTAAAAGATTTAAATCTTATTTAAATACTCAAAGAAATGTTGTGACAAAGAGACTCCGTTAGTTTTAAAAACTTGATAGTCTATCTCTGGCACATGCAGATGATAAAAGCGCTGATTGAATAATACGTCAGCTACTGCTGAAATTGTTGCCTATCTGAAACGTGAAACACTCAAAAGGGCCACGCGGCCCGAAAGAAATCAATTCAATTCAATCAAATTAAATTCAAGATGGACATTCTACTTAGACTAGATTGCCCAAAACACATGTACCGCTCTTCGAACCCGCACAGCCCACCACCTTATCGAGGGTGTCCGAATAGTCCGAGTGGCCAATCCAGTGGCCTATCTCGAGTGGTAAGCTTCAATGTGTCTGCGATTCGATCAGACGATCGGTGGATCGGACGATCGGCCCCACCATCCATATAAATTAGCCCCCATGCCACCCACAGCTGTTAGTTGAAGTTGACTTTGCCGCAATGATGAAACTGTTTTTGGCTCTTGCCTTCTGTGTCCTGGCGGGTAAGGTCTAGAATTTTCTAACCTTGGATACAACAAAATGTAATTTATATTTCTTTATTTTCAGCCAACGCCGTGGAGGTTCGTGAGAATGGTGAGAACGGATGGTATGTTCCCCAGGCCGATGGATCCATGGAGTGGATGGACCGCGAGTTCGCCGAGGCCTACTTGGAGACCAAGAACCGCATGGAGGGACGCAATGTCCTCAACCCGGTGACCTTCTACCTGTACACCAACAACAACCGCGATTCTCCCCAGGAGATCAAGGCTAACTCGGCTTCCATCTCTGGCTCGCACTTCAATGCCAACCATCCCACCCGTTTCACCATCCACGGTTGGTCCTCCAGCAAGGATGAGTTCATCAACTACGGCGTCCGCGATGCCTGGTTCACCCACGGTGACATGAACATGATTGCCGTCGACTGGGGACGTGCTCGTTCCGTGGACTACGCCTCCTCCGTCCTGGCTGTTCCCGGCGTGGGTGAGCAGGTGGCCACCCTGATCAACTTCATGCGCAACAACCACGGTCTGAATTTGGACAACACCATGATCATTGGTCACAGCCTGGGCGCCCATGTCTCCGGTTATGCCGGCAAGAACGTGAAGAACGGCCAGGTGCACACCATCATCGGTCTGGACCCCGCCCTGCCCCTCTTCAGCTACGATTCGCCCAACAAGCGTTTGAGCTCCACCGATGCCTACTATGTGGAGTCCATCCAGACGAACGGCGGCACCCTGGGATTCCTGAAGCCCATCGGCAAGGGAGCCTTCTACCCCAACGGAGGAAAGAGCCAGCCCGGCTGCGGTGTCGATCTGACCGGATCCTGCGCCCACAGCCGATCGGTGATCTACTACGCCGAGTCCGTCAAGGAAAACAACTTCCCCACCATGCGTTGCGGCGACTACGAGGAGGCTGTGGCCAAGGAGTGCGGCAGCTCCTACAGCTCCGTCCGCATGGGAGCCACCACCAATGCCTACATGGTCTCCGGAGACTACTATGTTCCCGTCCGTAGCGATGCTCCCTACGGCATGGGCAACTAAGTCCAGTCTTAAAGCAAATAAATCGAGTGAAAGCTCTGTGAGCGAAAGCAGTCCCAGTGTGAGCTTTATTTTACTGATATTACGGGTTACTTTGGTGGAACGCAAGTTTGGGCTATGGCTATATGACACCTACATGTTAAATCTAAAAAACTGAAGAGTACTAATACCTTTCAAAAAAAAATAAAAAAAAACAATTAAATAAATACAAGAAAAATAAGTAAAAAAAATGTTTTCAAATTATTTGTATCATTACTTCACCTTGATCACATTTTTAAGTCTTCTTGAACTACTATTATCTTTTGTTATATTTATGACGCAGTTGTTCTTATTTAAAACACTGCCTTATTAGTTAATCTAACATTATTGTATCTCAAATCTACTAAAATTGTGAAACCCAAATATTCGTATAGTTTCCCAGAATTCTGTTAAGTGCTTATAGCGTCATTTTTTCCGGGGGATTTGAATCGCACTGATTAGAAGGGATCTAATCACAGTGCTGTTGTTGCGCAGATTTTGACTTCCATTCAACATATGCAGACGAAAGGTATAAATAGCAGTACCAGGTGCGGCTAGTAGACCATTCTAAAAAATTTCTTCAACGATGAGATTGTGCCTCCTTGTGCTCGGTTGCGTGATAGCAGGTAAAGACTTTGCACTGGGAAAAACCCAAAACTTTCCGTAACTAACCATGAATCTCATTTAGCCAGCGCCTGGCCCGTTGACCAACTTTCGGTTCGTGATCATGGCGTCAATGGATGGTTCGTCCCCCAAAGGGAGGGTGGCCTGAGATGGATTAGCAAAGCGCAGGGCGAACTCCAATTGGAATACTACGAAGCTCAGGATGCGTTGGGAGGCCGTTGGTCCACCAACACGGTGAATTTCTATCTCTACACCCTGCAGAATCCCAGCACTGGACAGCAGATCAAGGGCACCAAGGCTTCGATTGATGCCTCCTACTTTAATCCCGAAAATCCAACAAGGTTAGATTCTTTTTAAAGAATTATTTATACAAGTTCTAATGAATGGCTCTGCAGAATTACGATTCACGGCTGGAACTCCAACTACAAGGATGGTGTGAACACCAGGATAGCTGATGCCTGGTTCCAGTACGGTGACTACAACATGATTGCTGTGGACTGGCAACGTGGTCGTTCCCTGGAGTACGCCACCTCGGTGGCCGGAGCTCCCGGAGCTGGAAAGAAAGTTGCCGCCCTTGTGGATTTCCTGGTGGAGACTTACGGCATGCGACTGGACACTCTGGAAGTGGTTGGCTTCAGTTTGGGTGCCCATGTGGCTGGACACACTGCCAAACAGGTGACCACCGGAAAGGTGGGCAAGGTAGTGGGTTTGGATCCCGCCTCTCCCCTTCTTAGCTACTCGAAAACCGAAAAGCGTCTGTCCAGCGATGATGCCGTTTATGTGGAGTCCATCCAGACCAATGGTGCCATCTTGGGTTTCTCCCAACCAATTGGCAAGGCAGCCTTCTACATGAACGGTGGAAGGTCCCAGCCCGGTTGCGGAATCGATTTAACCGGCAGTTGCTCGCACACCAAAGCTGTTATGTACTACGTGGAGGCGCTGCTGTATAACAACTTCCCTTCGAAGAGGTGCGAATCCTACAAGGACGCCAACAAGAACACCTGTGGCGATCAATACTGTTCTATCTCAATGGGTGCTATTATAAACACCTTTGTGGCCGAGGGTATCTTCTATGTTCCAGTAAACAAAGAATCCCCGTACGGTTTTGGACAGCAGAACAGTGGTGGCGAAGGAACAACAGCTCTACCCGTACCTACAACTACCCCTGCTGATGAATCGACGACTGAAGAACCGGAGGCCAGTACTCCACCCAAGAAACCAGAGGAGACCTCCACTACTACCGAGAAACCCGAAGAACCCACTCGTACAACCGGGGAACCAGAGGAAACCACTGTAGCCCCTGAGGAGTCTACAACCGATGAACCCGAGGAGGACTCTACAACTACCCAAAAACCTGAAGAGCCGTCGTCTACAACTGAGGAACCAGAGGACACGACTGCTGATCCAGTGAAGCCGACAACCGACGAACCCGTGGAGGACTCTACGACAACCAACAAACCCGAAGAGCCCTCTTCTACAACCCAGGAACCAGAAGAGACGACTGTTGCTCCAGAGGAGTCGACAACCGAAGAACCCGAGCAGATCTCTACAACTACCAATAAACCTGAAGAGCCCTCTTCCACAACCCAAGAACCAGAAGAGACGACCGTCGCTCCAGAGGAATCGACAACCGAGGAACCAGAAGAGACTACAGTTGCTCCAGAGGAAACGACAACTGAAGAACCCGAGGAGATCACTACAACTACCCAAAAACCTGAAGAGCCGTCGTCTACAACTGAGGAACCAGAGGAGACGACTGTCGCTCCAGAGTATTCGACAACCGAAGAACCAGAAGAGACAACTGTTGCCCCAGAGGAGTCGACAACCGAAGAACCCGAGGAGATCTCTACAACTACCAATAAACCTGAAGAGCCTTCTTCTACCACCCAGGAACCAGAAGAGACTACTGTTGCTCCTGAGGAAACTACAAACGAAGAACCAGAGGAGGTCTCTACGACAACCAACAAACCCGCAGAGCCGTCTTCTACCACCCAGGAACCAGAAGAGACGACTGTCGCTCCAGAGGATTCGACCACCGAGGAACCAGAAGAGACTTCTGTTGCTCCCGAGTTGTCGACAACCGAAGAACCAGAAGAGACGACTGTTGCACCAGAGGAAACTACAACCGACGAACCCGAGGAGATCTCTACAACTACCAATAAACCTGAAGAGCCTTCTTCTACCACCCAGGAACCAGCAGAGACGACTGTCGCTCCAGAAGATTCAACAACCGAGGAACCAGAAGAGACGACTGTAGCCCCAGTGGATTCGACGACCGAAGAACCAGAAGAGACTACTGTTGCTCCTGAGGAAACGACAACCGAAGAACCAGAGGAGGTCACTACGACAACCAATAAACCCGAAGAGCCATCTACTACTACCCAGGAACCAGAAGAGACTTCTGTTGCTCCCGAGGAGTCGACAACCGAAGAACCAGAAGAGACGACTGTTGCACCAGAGGAAACTACAACCGAAGAACCCGAGGAGATCTCTACAACTACCAATAAACCTGAAGAGCCTTCTTCTACCACCCAGGAACCAGAAGAGACGACTGTAGCCCCAGTGGATTCGACGACCGAAGAACCAGAAGAGACTACTGTTGCTCCTGAGGAAACTACAACCGAAGAACCAGAGGAGGTCTCTACGACAACCAACAAACCCGCAGAGCCGTCTTCTACCACCCAGGAACCAGAAGAGACTTCAGTTGCTCCAGAAGAGTCGACAACCGAAGAACCCGAAGAAACGACTGTTGCTCCAGAAGAGTCGACAACCGAAGCGCCCGTGGAAGTCCCTACAACAACCAAAAAACCCGAGGAGGCGTCTACGACAACCGTAGCACCAGAAGAATCGACTACCGTTGATCCAGAAGATATTGTATCAACTACAGAAGAACCTGAGGAGGTAACCACAACTGTCGCTCCACTGGTTCCTACAACAACCGCTAGACCTACGGAGTCCACAACCCCGGTTCCGGAAATTCCACCAACAAGCCCGCCCAATGATGATAATGTGGCTCCTCCAGGCACCAAGAACATCTTCATCTTCAACGTCTTTTTGGTGAATGTTAAAATCGAGAAATAGGTCAATAACCTAACTACTGTAGTAGATTTCCCGCTCACTGGCGGAAGAAAATAATAGCAATAAAATCATAACCAGCTTAATAGCAAACAAAAAAAATTATTTGTATTATTAATTATGAAGAAGAATTGACCAACTTCCGGAGTGATTCACATTTAATAACCAGAGCGATCAAAAAATCCATGTTATTTTTCTAGTTAATCAGTTCGGCCAGTTGATAATTATTGAGACAGAGAACGTGCTGGCTAGTACACAAGTTCGCTTATCGCATTAACGCTAGTCACTGCTGCTTGCAAAGTAGGCAATAAAAAACTTTCCGAAAAGTCCCAGCTACCAAATGTCTACTTCCCAATTAATTCGATTTATTAGCTTGGAACTTATCGTATGAGCTTATTTATTATTCATGCGAAATCAATCGTCTATATATAGGTTATAATCAAGGCGTTAAAGTGTCTGCCTTGGTTTGAATTATCCGAGTCATTACTTTATACATTTTTTTTTTTGGAGGGGTTTTGTTTTCAGCTTTACTGAAATTCATCTTATCGGCTAGAGAACTACTATTATTGCTAGATTGTAAATCGACGTCAGTAATACCAATATGTCTGCTCACAGACTTTATCAACGTCCATAAGACAATCTCTTTGGGGCACATTGAAGTATTCGCCAGGAGCACATTTCCGATTTGCGACCACACCTTGAATGCATTGTCTGTATCCTGCGCAGTCCCTTGGATCTTCTTCGAGTGCTCCTTCCTCACAAACTTCGATATTTGTGACACAATAACCCCTCCTATCCACCAAACAGGAGTGCGTTTCGAGATCGAAGTAGGAGCCACTGGGACAGGATTCCTGCACTAGTTCTCCATATCTGCACTTCATGTATCCTGCACAGTTATTAGGATCTAATTTCATCTGGCCTTCGATGCACTTCTGAAGTGGATCGGCACACACTCCATTCTCGTAGTGAATGCAGGTTGGATCAGGCAAAAACATCGGCGGAGGAGAATCTTCAAGGGGAACTTCTTGAGCAGTCGAATCCACTACGGTCTTCTCACACACCTTGTGCTCATCTATAAGGCATTCTCTTTCGGCCACATTATAATATTTGCCAAAAGGACATTTGAGATTTCCGACCACACCTTGAATGCATTGCCTGTAGCCAGCGCAATTATTGGGATCTTCTTCGCGAACTCCTTCGGTACAAAATTTAATGTTAGTGATACAAGTAGCCCTAATATCCACCGTACAATTTTTAAAATTGGGATCAAAGTAGAAGCCACTGGGACAATATTCGGCCTTAAGTTCTCCATTCGAGCAGTTAAGGAATCCGGCACAGTTATTGGGATCCACTTTAAGCCGTCCCTCTGTGCACTTTGCAAAAGGGTCATAGGGAGTGGTGGTCTCCGGAATGAATTCAGTGGTAATAGTAAGGTTACTTGTACTATTTTGATTATTGCACACTTGATTCACATCAAATAGGCAATAATTTCGGGTAACATTAAAGTATCTGCCTGGGTCGCACTTGAGTTTATTAATCTCTCCTCGAAAGCATTGTATATATCCGGCGCAATCCTCGGGATCTTCCTCGATAGATTCTTCGATACAAAGTGTAACATTCGAGAAATAACTGGAATTGGGTAACTGTACCAGTAAAGCAGGGGTAGTTGTTTCCACATCTGCAACTGTACTCTCTGTATATAATTCGGTTGTAGTACTTTCCGTAGTTTGAAGCAAATCGTCATTAGTAGTAGTACTTTCCGTAGTAGAATCAGAATATAGATATTCCTGCAAGTCAGCGATAGTACTCTCCGTGCTCTCTGTATATAGATCGGTTGTAGTACTTTCCCCATTTTGATCGGAATCGGAAGGAGTACTATCCGTATATATTCCGAACTCGTCAGGTTGCCCCAAACAAAAACCATTCAAGTCATAGATACAAGACTTTTCTGAAGTGGACACTTGTAAAACAGAATCAGTAGTTTGTAAATCGGCAACAGTACTGTCCGTAGATTGCTGCAAGTCGGCATCAGTAGTTTCTGTATAACGATATTCCAGCAAGTCAGCGATAGAACTCTCCGTAGAATCAGAGGTTTGCAAATCGGAAACAGTAGTCTTAATATTTAAATCGGATGTAGTACTTTCCGTTTGTCGTTCCAGGTCAGCAATAGTAGTTTCCGTATATTGAGATTCGTCACCTGAATTTAGTTTTATGTCTCTTTTTGTGAATTTGATAGGTTGGGCCACACAAAGTCCGTTCAAGTCGAAGATACAGGACTTGTGTGAAGTGACTTTAGGCTGAGCAGAATCTGTAGTGGACAAACCGTCAGCAGTGGTTTCCGAAGATTGCAGCAAATCAGACACAGTGGATTCTTCATCCTTGTAATTATCCATCCTGGGCTTTACACACACTCTTCCAAAATCAATGAGGCATTCTCCTTGTGTCTCATTGAAATATCTTCCTAATGCGCACTTGAGATTTTGAAATTTACCCCGAATGCATTGAGTGTATCCAGCACAGTCCTGGGGATCTTCCTTACGAACTCCGTCAGTACAAAGTTGGAGCTTAGTGACACAAATACCCTCAGTGTCCACCAAACAAGCGTCCAATTTTCGATCGTAGTAGGTTCCACTGGGGCACTTTTCCTCCACCATTTCTCCATTAATACATTTAAGGTATCCTGCACAATTATTGGGATCCAGCTGAGTTTGACCATCTGTACATTTAACAGGCTCAACACACACTCCATTCAAATCGACAATGCAGGTTTTATAAGTGGGTGCAAAGTAAGTGCCACTGGGACAGCTCTTAGTTTCCAGGGTTCCATTTTGACAATTGAGATAATTAGCGCAGTTATTGGGATCGACCTGGACTTCTCCTTCAGTGCACCCACTTGATGAACAGACACCATTTTCGTCCACCTGGCAGAGTTTGAAAATGTTTTCGAAGTAGCTGCCATTCGGACACTTTTCCTTCACCAGAACTCCACCGATGCAATTCAGATATCCTGTACAATCATCGGCATCCGCTTGCAGTTCTCCCTCCACACATATCTCTTTTTTAGCTGTGCAGGATCCACTGCGATCCAAACGGCAGCTTTTCGATATCGCATTAAAGTAGCTTCCCTCTAGGCACCTCTCCCTTTTTATATTTCCATGAAGGCATCTTAGGTAGGCAGCGCAATCCTTGGAGTCCTCAAAGATATCTCCATCCAAACATTTCCGTGACGTTGGGCAGACATTAAATTCATCCACCACGCATATCTCATTATTCGTCTCGAAATAACTTCCATTTGGACAATTAAAGTGCACCGTTTCATCATCGAGACACTGAAAATAACTGGCACAATCATCGGCATCGATTGCCACTGCACCTTCGGTACACTTTACAGAATCCTTAATGGCAGATGGTAAGGACGGCCTTATCAGACATAATAAGGACAGTATACAACACCCTAAACCAGGATAAAATTCATTAGTTGCCTTCAGTTTTTTTTTGGGAGTGCTATTACCTTTGTATATCATCCGTTGTAACTTCATTTCGTTGTATTTTTTCAATGAGAGCAATTCAATGCAATTTCTGCTTTTATATTGCAGCTCCATTAGCACTATTGTTACTCCAGATAAGATAAAGTGAAGTTACACATGTCCCCTCATAAGTGGCAAATAGAAAAGGTGTGAGAAAAACTTCCCATATGACTCAACTGAAACAATAGTTAGCAAATAACAAAGTATCCACAAAATCTTGAAGCAACCATGGGGCAACTGAAAAGGGTTTATCCTAAGACAACCCAAATTAAAAGAGTTTTTGGCACAAACTGAAAACGGAAATATTCACATCAATGAATGTAATCCACGGCTGAGTTCACACTTTGTGTCAACTGATTTGCATATTTTCATCAGTTAGTTTTACCCACTTGTTCGAGCTGAGGTTTCCGCCTGAATTTGAGGTTGATGTTACTAAGAAACGAATTAACATATGAAAAGAGCCCAGGAGCATTTGTTGCTTTTTGGACAAAGGTCAAAGGGTTTCAGACGAGCCGACAAAGACGTCTAACACATGTCAGTCGCCCAGGAGGGCCATTATTCACTTTAAAGCTTTCAGCCCTTAAGCCCAATAATCTACCTTTCGTTAATTTATCAAAATACAAGCGGCTAGACAAATTTATCCGTAAGCTCGTTGGGATTTTCCACCATTTTCACTCTATTTTTCCTGACAACTCGACAGAAAACATTTGGAAAATTCGTGTGTTGCGGTTGAGCTTTTCGGTATGCCAAACTACAAACATTCAACCAATTGAATGCCAATAAATATTCCTTTTGTTGTTGAAAAGCAAACCATTTCTTGTGGAAAGTAGTTTTTAAACACCCATTTCCAAATGTTTTACTGGACTTTTTCCCAAATGATTTGAAGGTACACAAAAAAAATGCCCCTGACCATCTAATGACACAAGTCATCGGTGGTCAAGTGTGTCTACAAAAAAGTGTATGGGAATTGAATTTCATTCTTGACTGCTTTTACCTTTTGTCAAACTTAAAAAAAAGGGCATTCGAGTCAAGGTAAATTGGAATGCCATTAGTCCTTCCCATAGCACTTAAAGCTACTTTTGATAAACATTTGTGTGTAGAGCCCTATTAAATATATGATTTAAATCGTTTTACAGTAAGGAAGACATTTTTGTGTGTGCATCTACTCATTTAATAAAAACAAAGGCACACTGTGAAACCATTTCTTCGGCTCAGTTGTCTTACATAATGAGGTCTACATTTCTATTGAATGCCTGGCCCCTTCAAAACATCTGGAATAATTCACAAGGCCAATTCAGTCTTCATATGGGCACTTTTTCGCAGGCTTTGAAATAAGAACATATTAAGCTGACTCCGCTTTCCATTTCACTACTCTTTGCAATGCAAAACACACATAAAATGCGTAAATTTGTTGAATTAATTTTTGATTTCATTTTATTATCGTTTGGTCTGACACGATATGCGTGGACAAAGGTTATTTCTGGATGAAAAGGCGATTGCCCTTAGAGCAAATTGGCCTTTCCACATGCATGAATTCTTCCCCCCACACTTTTTATCCTTCTACTCCAGGAACAATGAAAAACACAAATCACAAAAACGCCGAATCACTTTGTGCCCCTTAAAATTCTTGCAGAAAAATTTGAAGCATATTTGTATTATTTAACAGGTCCTGAAAAATGGAACCCTATTTGATTCTTTGTCCACTTGTTGAATGTTCCTAAAATGTAAAAAACTAACAGAGCAAATCGATTGAGAATTTCATTACAAACATTTTGCAAAAGGACATTTGCATATAATTTGGGCCCGCATCCTAAATCTGAACTTGCCATGGCTGAATTGCCGTGGGATTCCTGAAACAATTCCAGTAAAACAATGTGAGTCAGTCTGTGCACAAATCTCTGAATGACTTAAAACTTTTTTGGCAGGCAAACAAAACTCTCGGCTTAACAAAGAGCAAACTTTTAGGAAAGGAATTTTTAATATTGGAAGCTGGGCTTTTGCATCAATCTCTGTGCATCTTGCAGTTTGTTTATGGGATTATTCAGAAAGTCGTTTGAGATGAGCACACAAACTTACTATATCGCCCAGCGACGCCTCTTCAAAATACAATTTTATAAACACCCACTTGTTTTTTTTTTTGTACCTGCAGTCAGTCAACTGTTTGAAAGTTTCGGCCCGGCGCTTTTGTGTGTATTTTGAGTGTAAACAAATTCAATTTGTTGCTGTCATATCGTTTCTCTGGCTATCTTACTACATGTTCGCAGAATTCTTGGCAGCATTTTAAGTGCTTGGAAGAGCAACACAAGTCCTAGTATAAAACACGGAAACAGCAAAAACGTCACCGAGAAGGTAAACAAATGTGGCGAATAATTTGCTTGAGAAGATTTATTCCAGTTGCTCATTTAATTTTGTTTACTATGCATTTTTTAAAGTCTGCTCAAATATTCTACTACTCAACCCCTGCTGAATCAGAAATAATTTGACTCTTTTGTTATCGATAAAATTATAATTTATATCAAATGAAACAAATTTCCCAATACTGACTTCAACAGAAATGAATGGAAATATATGCTAATTGATGGAAAGCAATCCGTAGAGAAACATGTATTTGACCAGAAAGAAAATTTATGAAAATCCAATCAAAAATAAACCAAGGCCTCTTCCTTTCGTCATTTCCGGAGTTCAATTTTATTTATTTTCTGTTCGCGCCATGTTTAACATGAACATCAGGAACCAAATCAATATGGCATATGTCGTATGTCGTTTGATAACGAAATATCTAAAAACGAACAAATATATAACCATGAACTGTTTAATTTTGATCTTTTTGCAATATGTGCAGTTTTTCTACAAGCTGGTTTATTTACAAAATAAAATTCCATTGGCTGGTATCAATTCATTGACACTGTATTTCATAACGAAAAATTAAAAAATACTGAAATAATATAGCTTGATTTGAAACGTTGAAACTACGTTTAAACTGATAATATTTTTAAAATTATTTAGTAAAAATATATATATATATATGTTCTTTAAAATATGTTCTTAGACCTTAAAATATTCAAAGATTTTTTTGCACTTAAAATTTGTTTTCCCCTTTAATCTCTTTAACTTCCTTCATACAAAGTTTCACGTAAAAATCTCGTTGATTGGCATTCATAAATTCATTTTTCAGGCGTGAAAGTGGGAAATGTAAAAAAGTGATATAAAGGGGCGTGAAAAGTGGGGGAGGTCAATGGTAAATTCGTGTCCGGAACACGATGTCACAAAAACAAGGAGTACTAGCAAAAAATGATGAGAAACCAAAGCCAACGAATGTCTGGCACTGAATTTATTATTATTTATGATGCTAACGGAATTGATGGCCAAATCCCGCCTCCGTTAGTTGAGTATATTAGTATTGCCACTGAGTTAATATTGATTTTGCGGCTCCCTTCGATCAACCAGGACATATTCAAATCCCACAAATCGGGAAGTGTTCGCCGAATCAATAAACCAGAATTCGCATTATGTAGACAAGGCAAACAGATAGCAGGAAGTCAAAGGCGGTAATAAATCGGCAAGCATCACTCGACACGCGTCGACATTAAAACGACACATAAAGCGACACCGTAAACAGTCTAAAAAAAATCTGGCTCAAAGCAATCTCCCAGCTTAAATCGAGCGCAATTAAAGCTTAAAGGCCCAAAGGAAGCCCCAAAAATATGCTTTTACCTACCCAAAAAAAACCAGCACACATGAACAAAGCTGCTAAAAAGGACTAAGTCTTTAAAGCTGCTCAATTTCAGCAACATTCTGCATAATTTACAATTAACCCAGCCACACATTGTTGTCGACGCAAGTAGAATGGATGAGAAACTTAGGGGATAAGACCGGCTAAAGTCCGTTTCATGCAATATTTACAACGACAGCAGCGACAATGTAGCAAATGCTTTATATTTTTTATGTCCAAACTAAACTACAGCTCCTGCAACACAAGCAAACTGCTGATTGATGATATTTCCGGCGAGGACCCAGCATAATGCAATACAAATACGAATTTATCAAGAAATTGTATTGCCGTCAATTTGGAAGGAACTAACAAGCGATGAGTTTTCTTAAGCTCAGACAGATTAAATGCAGCAAAGCTTAAAAATAATAACCACAAAGTGGATTTTGTCTCCAGGAAACGGTATTATTTCTTAATGAGATGAGGTATAAATAAACATTTGTAGCTGCCAAAGAAATGTGACTATTCAGAAAAAAAAAAATCTTAAGAGGTGCACTGTATAGGTGTGCATATTCTAGTGAGCTGAATTTTAAAAAAAAATTTTAAGAGGTGCACTGTATAGGTGTGCATATTCTAGTGAGCTGAATTTTAAAATATACAGATTTTTAAAGTGAACTTTTGACGCAAATTGACACACTGACATGGGTCGCAAAATGGGTTGAATTGACAGGCTTTTGTCTCGAGCGGCTGATAAATCTAATTTGACACATCAGTCAGGCGCCAAAACTCCACTAAAAACATCTGTAGATAGTCAGGAAGGTTGTCCTGATTTCTGGTCATGTGTCCGCAGTTAATCCCACCCAGAACCAAACGAACGACCGAGCAGATGTGTGAAACTCAGCCAAATGCTAACGAGCGGAAACAACAAGACAACAGATGCCGGCGGAGAGGACAAGCTGATTAGCAGGTAAATAAAGCTCATTACAACTCACCTGGTGCACTAAAAGCAATGTCAATGTCAATGCCAGATGAAATGACCCAAAACAATGGCCAGCAATTTCACTTGCACTCACTCACTTAATTTTTTTGCGTATTGCGTACACGCACCGTTGGACGCTTGGTAATGGTCGCAGTTTATTAATTGTTTATTGTTTACCGATTGTTTTTTCGCTGTTTATTGCCACTCACCGCAATGAAATGAATGGCTATTTTTTAAGGGATTTATAAGTCCGATTTCGGAATCGGCGAACGAGAGGTGAAAACGCTGCGGAAAATGTGAGGAAGCCTGGTCACTGAAAACGAT